GCATTCCCTTTCAAGACGGCGCAGACCTACGACGGATTCCACCCGCGGCATGTTTCCCTCCTCACTGATGGCCACCTCGAGGTAATTAGTGCTTCCTTTTTCGCAGTGGAGGAACATGATTCCTTTCCAACCGCGATCCTGGCCATTATAACTACACTGCTGCAAAAGGCAAGGCCCAAAGGCACGGGCATACCGTCTTTTCGGGGCATAGCCTTGCTACCAGCACTTTACCGTGTCTGGGCCAAGTGTCGCCAGCCCCTTGCACGAGCTTGGGAAGCGGATCACAGGCGCCCCTTTGTTGGACATCCGCAGAACCGCTCGATTGAAGGCACTGTCTTCTTGCAGGCCCTGGAGCCGGAATCCGCGGCTGCACGAGGCGAGGCCGCCGTTATTCAGCTTGCATTTCAGAGGACGCGGCGGACTGTCGTGAGCACGTAGGCCGCCCTCTCCTCTGGGGGCGTGCGCGGCGGGCACGCTTCCCGATGAAGGTGCTGTGCGTGGCACTCAACCAGTACCAGGGGAGACGCATCGTAGCGATGCATGATTCAGCAGTCGACGTGGGGCACCCCCGCTGCGGCCTCGCTGCCGGCTGTGGTTTCGCGACCTTTGCGGTGCAAGTCTATACTTTAGAGCCTCTTGACAACTGGTCCGCCAGCAATAAACAGCTTGCCTTTTCGATTTTCATCGATGACCTCTTGCAAGGGATCACCAGACCCACCCTAGGCGAGGTTGTAAGCCACCTGGTGAAAGGCGTGGCTGATTTGCATGTGGTCATCAGGACCGAGCTCAAATATACGATTGCCGTCGCCAAGTCCGCAACCATTGCCAACCATGCAGGTCTGAAGGCGCGGCTCGCCAAGGCACCGGGCAGACACGCTGGCGCTCTTGCTTCCTCCGCCCGTAACCTTGGCATCGATTTCGCAGTAGGCAATCTCAGGGGATTTATGAAAATGAAAAACCGGCCGATCCTGACAAGCCGGCTGACCAAGCTGCGCTGCCGTGCCCGCCGACTTCTTGGCACTCAGGAGGGCTTGCGCAGACCTCCGAAGAATTTTCACTTCGGGCTTAGACCAATTCGGCGTGTACGGGGTCTGGGTACAGGAGCTGACGAGGCGGAATTGTTTTCTGCCCGATCATTCTTCTTGAAGCTGGTGGGCGCCAGGGGTGATTCCAGGTCACGCTCAGTATCCTTGGCTGTCCACAAGGACCCCACTTGGCGACAAGGTCTCGCCCCTGTCTTGCTTTGGTCAAAAATTGGACGTCGGGCATTGACCATTCCGCTTTCAACCCTCACCCCCTTCCTCGCCTCCTGTCCCTCGCCCAGCCCATCCTAATCCGCCCCCCTGGCGCGTGGGCCCAGGTGAGGGGCCCTCTCGGCGCAGCCATTCTATCCTTGGCTCGCATAGGGTGGTCGTTCACACGCCGTTTGTACTGCGGGACCCTGTGGGCAAGAGGTGGCCCCTCACATCATTTTCTCCCAAGTTCATGGGACTCCAATTCCAAGAGTATTGGGCGCAGAGCCATTCCAGCGCCATTGCAGGCAAATTAGAGCAGCCTGCGTCCACTACTTGCGATTTCAGCGTGGCCCGGCGTTTAATTCAAGAATGCAGCCTGCAGAAGCACAAGCAAGGGCTACTTCGGTCATTTGTCTGCCAGTCGCTGTGGACAGCACATCAACTTAGGCAGGCAGGGTACGGCGTCGACCCCACTTGCATGTGCGGGGTGCCTTCCGAGAGCATCTCTCATCGCCTCCACTTCTGCCCCTGCACCCATGGCCTCAGGGATGAGATGCTCACTGAGGGTGACAAGGCCCTCATCTCTGATTCGGCCAGGAACTCCCCATTTGTTTGCGGATTCCAGGAGCAGCCGGAGCCAGCGTCCACGCCGCCGCCAGGTATTGGCATTGCCAATCGTCGGTTCTTGTGTGCCGCCGAGGGCGCCACCATAGCGGAGGCCTTCATTGGCGATGTGTTCACGGACGGTTCCTGCTTCAAGGATGTGCCTGTCGTTTTCCATGCTGCGGGGTGGGCGGTGGTGAAGCTGACGCCAACGGGCGAGCTCTTCGCCGCCCTCTTGGGGGCCGTCGGTGCGGACTACCTGCAGACCTCCCCAGCAGCTGAGCACATTGCCGTCCTCGCGGTAATGCAATTGTGCCCGCGTGCCACTCTTATTTACTCGGATTTTTAGGGGCTCGTCAAGCTCTCGGAGGCTCCGTGGCGGCAAGTGGCTGCCCAGCAGCACATGTACGCTGGCCTCCATGTGCAGATTCGGGGATCACCGGCCTGGTCCCACGATTTCCGCATTGTCAAAGTCCCAGCTCACGTGAACCCTTCTGATCTGCCAGCTGGATCGTTGGAGTGGTGTCGAGCCGTGGGCAACGACTTTGCTGACAGGTACGCAAAGAAAGGTGCACTCACTGTAGGGCAGCCGTCTGCGTCAGAAATAACGGCATGGATTGAAGAGAACGCCTCCTTGAGGCGATATCTCATGTATGCAGCACGGGCGTTACTTTTATACCCGAGACTCGCCCCTTCCAAAGCCATGCGCTCCTCTTTCAACGCGCGGCTAAGGGCACCAGGTTTCAAAACAGGCATTGGGGCTGCCCGCCAGGCGCTCCCGTCCCCACCGCCCCTGACCCCGCCCCCGCCACCGCCGCCCCTTTCCCCTTTCGACGCGGCATCTTCGGCAGCTGCTCCGGCGAACGCAGAGGGGCATGCGTGGGCTTGGCGTCGCAACCGTTGGGCGTGTCAGCGATGTTTGCGCTTTGTGGCGCCCGACCGCAAGCTCGCGCCAAACGTGACGCCGTGCCCGGGGTGCAATGCAGCCTTCTCTGCTCTGGTCGCCAACCCAGGGTGGCACCGACTGCATGTAGCACATTTCTCCCACGGTGTCATATTTATTTGCGGCAATTGTGGCGCCTACTCTGAAACTGGCGCTTTGCGTTCTTTGGGAAAGGAATGCCCACCAGGGCGCGCTTTCCCGTCCAACGGGGCAAAACACTCCTGGAATCGCTTTGCCAGGGGACAACGCCCCAACTCGAAAGTTGGTCCCGCTTATTGCCTTGACGAGCGTCTCCCCGTCTCCGCCCTCTTTTCGCCCTGGTGCACTTTGAGTCCGTGGTCTGTGAAAAAGTTGCTTCGCCTAACGCAGTAACCATCGCGAAGTCAGCTGCTCGGTTTCTTCTGCGGGCTTGGGGGCCCATTCCGTTTGTGCTCCCCGCAGGGTGTGACGAGGTTTCCCCAAGAAGCTTGTTTAACAATACACGGCATCGCACATTCTCTGTCGCAGGGATCTCTCTCCCTGTTTACCCCCAGACATTCCTGGCTTCATCTAGAGCCCCCTCGAATTCCCACCTGCGTATGGTATTTTACTTGTGTGTTTGTGCAGGACGCCAGAGGATTTGTTAACCGCGTGTTCGGCCGCCGTCCCCGTTTGGCGAGAGCCCCAGCACGCCACAACAAAGTGTGGCCCTTGGCTTGAGCCATTTTGGCTCAAGCCAGGATTTGCCCCGACAGTTTTTGCCACTTGGGATCTTCTGATTTTGGGAGCACTGGTCAGCAGCACAGTGCAGTGGCATCCGTGGTAACACGTCGTGCTTTTTTCCCCTTTCCCTGCTTTCGCCCTTGGGCCTCGAGAGGGGGGCGCGGTTTGCCCGCCTGTATGCGCCCGGAGTCGAAACTGTGTAGTAGGTTGGGGGCGGTAGAGAGGACGCGATCACTTGCGCCGGGCTCTCGGGCACTCTCCCCATCGCTCCCCTCCCGCTCCATGCCTGTGCAGCCCGGGGACACTGTAGCAGCAGAGAGTGGCAGTCGCAGGGCCCAGGGCACAGATCGATCAGATGATCCAGGTGTGGGCAGTTGTGTAAAAGTCCGTGGCAACTGAGCGCAAGAGCCAGCGCGGTGGCGGAGGCCAGCGATCACAACAGCAACAGAACATTGATATTGCGCTCTGCATGAACGCGTGCTGTGAACGCTCCTGCGGGGCACGAGGGGGGCACAATTTGTTAGCATCGCCCCGTCCTCCTTCCTTGGTTTCCTTCTCCTCCCCCTCTTCCTTCCACGCGTCCCTCCACCCTCCCAGCCTTTGTCCCCCTCCCCTTTCGTCCCCCTGCTACGCTCCCTGTCCCGCGCCCTTCCCTGCCGTTCAGACTTTCACGATGCAGGTGCGCTGTGAACGCTCCTGCCGGGCACGGGGGGGCACATTTTGTGAACATCGCTCCGTCCTCCTTCCTATGGTTCCTTCTCTACCTCTTCCTTCCACGCGTCCCTCCACCCTCCCAACCTTTGTCCCCCTCCCCTTTCGTCCCCCTGCTGCGCTCCCTGTCCCGCGCCCTTCCCTGCCGTTCAGACTTTCACACTACAGGTGCGTATGACAGCGTACCATTACTCCATGCTGTCCCGGATCAGGTACCGAGAGGGGCAAGTTGCGAGGGGCGCGTTCGCTCCAAAGGGGGGCTGGCGTGCCAGACGCGAGCTCTGCCGACGCCCCGATCCAGGCGCAATGAGGAACTGAAGAGTACCTCTTCTAGCACACTGTGCATGGCGTTGGGGTTCGGGAGTGCACCAAAACATTGACCCCCAGGTGGCGACAGCCAGGCCGTGGTTTGGCGGCGCCCCTTCCAAGGCCCTGAGAAGGGCCATACACACCTCGGAAGCAATCTGTATCACTTGCGCGGGGCCTCTCCCGCGCACCTGAGCAGCCCTTCCGGCTGTCGTTTCCGAGGATGGCCGAAACCAAGCCGGGGAGAGTTCAGAAACTGTGGGGGACGTACCACGTTAGTGGCCACCTCGCCCATTCATAACACGCATCCCCCATGCGTTAATATCCCCGGAAACCATTTGACTCAAAGGATTGGTTTCTGCCATCCTCAAGACTTTAAGGATGAGACCTCCTAGAGCCCTTGCAACTAACTCCCTTTCTGCATGGGCATGCAGCATTGCGCAGCGGGTGAGTGGGAAACCGCAGCCACCCTGACCAGGGCTCTGATGGTCGCCTCATCCTTAAAGATGGGTTCTAGGTGCCCTCAAAGCCTATAGCGTACCTCCTCCTCCTCGTCCTCCTCCTCCTCCTCCTCCTCCTCCTCCTCCTCCTCCTCCCCCTCCTCCTCCTCCTCCTCCTCCGCCTGCTGCTGCTGCTGGCTGCTGCTGCTGCTGCTCCTCCTCCTCCTCCTCCTTCTCCTCCTCCCTCCTCCTCCTTCTCCTCTCCTCCTCCTCTCCCTTCCTCCTCCTCCTCCTCCTCCTCCTCCCTCCTCCTCCTCCTCCTCCTCCTCCTCCTCCTCCTCCTTCTCCTCCCCCTGCCCCACCGCGAGGCCCCTCGTCCCCCCCCTCCTTCCTCTCCTCCTCCCTCCTCCTCCTCCCTCCTCCTGCTCCTCCCTCCTCCTCCTCCTCCTCCTCCTCTCTCCTCCTCCTCCTCCTCCTCCTCCTCCTCCTCCTCCTCCTCCTCCTCCTCCTCTCCTTCCTCCCCTCCCCCTCCTCCTCCCCTCCTCCTCCTCTCCTCCTCCTCCTCCTCCTCCCCTCCTCCTCCTCCTCCTCTCTCCTCCTCCTCCTCCTGCCTCCTCCTCCTCCTCCTCCTCCTCCTCCCCCCCCTCCTCCCCCTTCCTCTCCTCCTCCTCCTCCTCCTCCTCCGCCTCCCCTCCTCCTGCTCCTCGCTCCTCCTCCTCCTCCTCCTCCTCTTCCTCCTCCTCCTCCTCCTCCTCCTCCTCCTCTTCCCTCCTCCTCCTCCTCCCTCCTTCCTCCTCTCCCTCCCTCCCTCCCCCCCCTCCCTCCCTTTCTCCCTCCTCCCTTCTCCCGCCTCACCTCCTCTCTGGGTCACCCAGAGTTTCAAGCTCAAGATGGCCCACGACGACGCAGAAAGGACCCTCATTAGGGAACCAAGGTGCA